CATGTTTTTATGTTATGTTTAGGAGAAAATAAATCCAAAATCAGTGATACTCAGATGATAGACTATTGAGTTTATTCTATCCAGACGATTGTACAGACAACAATAAAAAAGGGGTCACACTTTAGTTTGGGGACCAATTCTCACTATTAACTCTGACTTTTGCTATTAACTATGATCTTTTACCTATGCATATTAATAGTTAGTAGGATAATAGTGGGTTGGATTAAGGGATCTAGAGTATGGTCATGCAGAATAAGGTTTATAAGTACTAATAAACAGCCATTAGTCTAGTAATATGCATGCTAATAAGCAACTAGTTAATAGTGAGAATTGGTCCCTATACTAATGTTATCAAAAAATTTAATACATTTGTTTAGACTTTGTAATCAGATCTTCTATCCACTTAAACCTAATAAATAGTGCTGAATGTTTCACAGATATAGAAACCTTTGTATCTTCCGACAGACTGGAATCGGTGGGTTGAGCCCAGCTCTTGTTTTGGTGTGTAATATGCATCAGACTATCTCTGCCTGGCTCTACTTGTCTAATTATCTATCTGCAGGCCTCAAGGGCTTCTACATTTGGAAATGTAATCAACTATATCAAATATAGCAAATAATCTGCCCTGTCTGGATGTGTTGTTTCACCAGGAATCTTACATTGTGTGTCTCTGAAACATTAAAGATAGATCAAGGTGTTACTTCGGTGTGGGTTGGGCCGGTTGTTTTGTAAAACTTGAACTTGGTATGAACTGGCACGATTGATCAGCTCTGCAAGCATGTGTATTTGTTCAGCATATGGGTTTGCCTATCAAATGCTGGTCCGTAGATCTGCAGATCTTTATTTCATTTGTCAGACATCTGGCCTTGCAGATTAGATTTAGGTTTCTCTGTTGTCATAGCAATATCATATTACACAGCCTTCATCAGCATGTCTGTCCACAAGCACAGAGCCAGAAACTTTGTGTTTGGCTTTTCAAAGAGAGCTAAGAGGAAACTCCCCTAGTGACAAATAAATATACTAAAATGTATCTGAAATACATGTATTTCATGCTAAGTATACTACAAATACATTTATATTTTATGTACTTAATAAAAATACCCTGCAATTGGTAATTTTTGGAACAACTAATGTTGTGCTTAATTCACTTTAATTGTGTGGAAGTAGTGCTGAAGTCCAACTAAAGATATGCTGAAGTATATTTTACTGTGCTACAGTGGACCTACTGCAAGTATACTTCAGAGATATGTGGCCTCTAGAAGCTTGCGTTCTGCAAGTGAACAGCGTATTATTGTGCCATCTAAAATAGGCGCAAAATCACTTTCACAGACGTTTTCATTAACTGTTCCCTCCTGGTGGAATGACCTGCCCAAATTAATCAGAGCAGCTGAGTGCTTAACCATCTTCAAGAAACGACTAAAAACACATCTGTTCCATCTTTATTTGACCCTCTAACTCTAACACTTTCTATTCTATTTTAATTC